GCCACCACACCCGGCTGATTTTTGTATTTTTAGTAGAGATGGGGCTTTGCCATGTTGGCCAGACTGGTCTTGAACTCCTGACCTCAAGTGATTGCCTCAGCCTCCCAAAGTGCTGTGGCTATAGGCGTGAGCCACCGAGCCTAGCTGAGGCTCATGCTTCTTGTTGCACGTCTCAGTAGTTCAATTCCTGTTCTGTCCAGTTTTATTGAGGCATAGTTTAAATGTCATATAATTCACCCATTCAATTATTTTAAATAAATGTGCCAAGTTGTGCAACCTTCGCCATAAATCAGTTTTGGAACAGTTCCGTTACCCCGATAAGATCTCTCATACCCATTTATTGTTCATCCACATCCCTAACCCCAGGAACCACGAATCTATTTCTCATCTCCGTAGATTTTCCTTTTCTGGATATTTTGTATAAATGAGATCATATAATATGTGTTCTGTTGAGCCTAGCTTCTTTCCCTCAGTATGATGTCTTTAAGGTTCATCTTTGTTGTAATGTGTATTAATAGTATGTTCCTTTTTATTGATGAGTAGATTCCGTTGTGTGGATAAGCCAGACTTTGCTTTTCCATTCATCAAGATAGGGGATTTTAATTCGGTCAGTGCTTCCTAACTGCACTATATACATATAATGCTACAGGATAAATATGGCTCATCTTTCTGGAACATAAATATCACACACAGATTTACTTAAAGTTTAAATCATTGAGTGGTGAAAATAATTTTTGGAACATGTACTGTGTGCCAGGCACTGGCTAAGCTTTGAAAATCATTAACTTTGGACAGGCGTGGTGGCTCACGCCTGTAATCCCAGCACGTTGAAAGGCTGAGGCTAGCGGATTGCATGAGGTCAGGAGATCAAGACCAGTCTGGCCAACATGGTGATACCCTGTCTCTACTACAAAAAAAAAAGTTAGCCAGACGTGGTGGCACACACCTGTAATCTCAACTACTTGGGAGGCTGAGGCAGGGGAATTGCTTGAACCCGGAAGGCGGAGGTTGCAACGCACTGAGATCACGCCACTGCACTCCAGCCTGGGTGACAGAGTGAGATCTCGTCTCCAGGAAAAAAAAAAAAAAAAAAAGAAAGAAAATCATTAACTTTGAGTCACACATTAAGTACATGGGGGTTAGAGAGCCACAGTTTCCTCCAGGTTTCTCTGGCCCCAAAGCCCATGCCTTCCTTTGTACACTCTAAGACGGTGTCAGCTTCACCCAGGAGCTAGCTATAGGTCCCTTGAAACCTCCATCATCTTACTAATATCATGACTCTAGATCCACAGAGCCAGGGGAAAGGGTCACTGTGGATCAAGCCAGGCTTGAGCAGCCCAGAGTCTATTTACAGAGAGCAGCAAGTTCCTGGGACAGAGGAGACAGAAGGGAATTTCCCGGTTCTTCAGGACGTTCACAACCACACTGAGAAGCATCCTTGCAGATAAGTATTTAAACTTACCAGGCCATAGCCTACCAGCCTGCCCTCTTCTGGTCTGTGCAGGGAAGTGTAGTATCCTAGAATCCCAAAGTGGGAGGGGAAATGGGTGATGTAGCTCATTCTCTTTTCTGCGTCTATGGAAGAAAGAAAGAGCTTGTCCCCATTTTGTGGGGTCCCAGAAAGGGTGATTTTCACACTCCACATTCGGCATTAGGGCTAGTATTTTATAAACGTCACCGTCTGGAACTTTTGAAGGCTGAGTTAAATAACTTCACCTTGTGTACTTGTAGAACTGCTATTAGGAGGAAGCTGGGGACTCCCTGGTAATGTGAACTGGCCCTTTTCAATTTTGGTGTTTTGTGATCATATTTATAAACCTTGGCTGGAGCTCCTTGGCCTTGCAGTTAAGTGAAGAGTTAGCAGTGTGACTTTAGATGCATTTTTCTCAGTGCAAGTGTCTGAGTTCACCTCCAGTTCTGAACTCATGCCCCCACTCCCAGGTGCTGACAGAAAGCTTTGAAGATATGCTGAGATGGCTCCCTGACAACCCTGATTCAGGTCTGTCAGTTGATGAAGACAGCGTAGTTGTCACCAAAGGCAAAACCTGGCAGATGGTCCTAGGTCAGGATTAGTGGTCATTCTCTGGTCTTCTCCAGACTGGTGACACAGGGTGGTCTTAAAAGAGTCCTACTCCAGCCTCTGGCTCCCCGAATTTCCTCTGGTGCATGGAGCATCAGGAAAGGGCAGGAGAGAAGGAGGGGGAGCGGAAAAATTACTGCTGGGCAGCAGGGTCCCTTCCATTTCCCCATCCATTGCTTCAAACAATGGGTGATTATTGTGCACCTTGAGTGAATGTCAAGGCAGGAAGAGTCCCAGGGCCACCCAGTGTGGCAGGAGCAGAGCTGGGATCAGAATTCTGGATTCCTGACTCTCCGTTCAGCTGCAATTCAGCTGTCACCAAGCTGCTGAGTTTGTCCTACTTTCTCCCGGGTCGCATTCTGCTGTTGTCGGGAAACAGGGAGTGAGTGAAGGGAACCCGGGAACCCCTCTCCCCTCACCTTTTAAGGATGTTCTGGGGTGGAATAAAGGGAGGTGGAGGGTGGGGTGCCTGGATCCAGCCTCACTGGCTCCTGGTCCTTCTTTCTTCGGCAGGGAGTTTTGGCAAGGCCTGGGCCTGGGGAGGGGGCCTGGGTGCGGTTTTCTCCTGCGGTGTGGTTGGCTCTTTTGTCTTCCAGGATGGGCCTATGGGGTCTGTGTGGGGAAGGAAGGAGCTGGGAGCCTGGACTGCCTGTGTGTCTGCTGGATGCTGCCAGGTAAACCTGAGAGAGATGTGGGGAGGGAGGGAGGGAGGGAGGGAGGTCACATAGAGCTTGGTTTCATGGGGGTAGGTTTTCCTCCTACCTGTGCCCCCTCCTCAGGCCCAGAACATTCCTGCTCCTGAGAAGATGGCCAGGGAAGCAGGTGGCTGGAAGGCTTGCTCTGTGTGGTCCTGGTGGGGGTGGGTGGGATGGAATCAAGACCACTGTGGGTGAGCTTGAGCAGAGAATTTAGCATGTTCATTCATTCAGCACCGGAATGGACCAAGCAACTTCTCCGAGCCAGATGCTGGGGATGCAGAGGTGAACCCAGAGACATGATCCCATCTGCTCGGATCTTCATGTCAGAACACGCTTTATTACAGTCTCGGCGAGGGGGTGAGCTCCTCATCCTGGGAGCAGTGTGTGTGTGCGTGCATGTGTGTATGCGTGTGTGCATGTGTGTGTGCATGTGTGTTGGGGGTGGTGGTGTGCAGAGATCCTCCCAGTGGGAATGTTGTAAAATGAACTGAAGCCATCAAAGGCCTCTGAAGGTCCTTCCCACCCACTCAAATCCTTGCCCTGTCTCTGCCCATGAGGCTCCTGGAGCTTGCTATGGGCTCCCTTTACTGCTTTTCCTCTGGTCCCCTGAGCTAACCCTGCCTGGTGGGGTATTCTCCGCTTTCATTGCTTCCTCTTTTTAGACAACATTTTTTTTTCCTTTTTCTCAGAGACAGGGTCTCACTCTGTTGCCCAGGCTAGAGTACAGTGTTATGATCATGGCTCACTGCAGCCTTGACCTCCGGGGCTCAATACATCCTCCCACCTCAGCCTCCTGGGTAGCTGGGACTACAAGTTCACACTACCGTGCCTGGCTTATTTTTTTTTTTTTTTTTTTTTTTGAGGCGGAGTCTCGCTCTGTCGCCCAGGCTGGAGTGCAGTGGCCGGATCTCAGCTCACTGCAAGCTCTGCCTCCCAGGTTTACGCCATTCTCCTGCCTCAGCCTCCCGAGTAGCTGGGACTACAGGCGCCCGCCACCTCGCCCGGCTAGATTTTTTTTTGTATTTTTTAGTAGAGACGGGGTTTCACCGTGTTAGCCAGGATGGTCTTGATCTCCTGACCTCGTGATCCGCCCGTCTCGGCCTCCCAAAGTGCTGGGATTACAGGCTTGAGCCACCGCGCCCGGCCTCCGTGCCTGGCTTATTTTTTGTAGAGACAGAGTCTCATTATGTTGCCCAGGCTGGTCTCAAACTCCCGGGCTCAAGTGATCCTCCTTCCTCAGCCTCCCAAAGTGCTGGGAGTCACGGTGGGAGTCACCGTGCCTGGCCTAAGTTTCTTCTGAAAATTTTTCATGTCCAGAGTCCTCACTTCCACCCTGTGTGTGTGCTGGGGGCATGAGAGAGAGACTGGGGGGATCTCTGAACATGCGTCCCCTGAGATGCAGAATCAGGCTGGGGGGGATGTGGGAAGTTGGGGGTGGAGGCTGTGGCTTCATCCTCACTCGCTGTGTTTCCCCCCAGGTGGCTCCATCTGGGCCGCATCTCCAGGACTCCTGGCCTGGCCTTCTCTTTGGACCTCGGGTGACCTTGGACTCTGGCCACAGTAACTTAGCGGGCAGACTCTGGTGGTTTTCTAGCCCCCTGGGTGACTCCCTGAAGATCTCATCCTCCTCACCTGTTGGGGTGGGGCCTCCCATGGATAGGAGCGCTTCCTGGCTGATGCTCAGTGGACGACTGGGTCTGGCTCTGGAGGATGACTCCAGGGCTATGAGGGAGGCCTGGCAGCCCACTACTCCCTCCTCACCTGCTCGGGCCCTGCCTGCTGGGCCCTATTGTCTGGGTCTGGGGGCCCTTTCCTGACCCCACGCGAACTTGATTCCTCCTTGTGTTTCTGCCGGTGACCAGACAGAGCCTGGCCTGGGCCAAGGCCCCACTGACCACACTCTCCCCAAGGCTGGGTCTCAAAGGACCCTACAGGATGGCGACAGGAACATGATGGAAGTCAGGGAGGGGCTGTCAGGGAGAGGGCAGACACAGTTCTTTGGGTGCCGCTGGCTGGAGTCCTTTGTCTCCGTTTGCTCTGTGCGTATTTGTCATTTTGTGGGGCTTCCTTGGTGGGGCTTTTCCATGCTTTTCCTCTCCCTGATGGTTACAAAGAGGAGACAGTCAGGATCTGGGAGGAGCTGGAGCCTTCCCCCTGTGCTGTTGAACTCTGGGAGGGGCAGCTAGAGGGACTGAGTGTGCACCGTTCTGAAAAGAGAAGGTCTTTAAGAGATAAGATCTAGGCCAGGGAAATTCACTAGAAAGAGACAGGCGGCCCTGGGTTTTTTTCCTGCCATCCAAAGGGAACCAATCTTACCCAAAGGATTGAGGGGTCACCTTAGCCCAATCTCAGGACACTCTCCTCCAATCAGATCCCTGCTTCCAGCTGCACTGCTCCTGGATTGTGTTCTTGGGGAGCAGAAGGTGGCAGGACAGGCCCCACAGTCCACAATTCCAGCTGCCTCCATAGGGGACAGTCCCAGTGTCTGCAAGAGAGCAGCTTGTGGCCTCCCTTAGGCAAGTTTAAAAGCCAGATGTCCTTTTTCCCAGAAAGGGGAGTGGTGTGTACTATTCATCGGCTTGGGCTGCCACAGACTGGATGGCTTAAACATCAGGAATTTTTCTCCCAGTTCTGGAGGCTGGAAAGTCCATATCAAGGTGTTAGAGTTGGTTTCTGGTGAGGTCTCTCTCCTTGGCTTGCAGGTGGCACCTTCTTGCTATGTCCTCACATGGCCTTTTCTCTGTGGAGAGGGACAGAGAGCACGAGCAAGCTCCAGTGTCTCCTCCTCTTCTTATAAAGACATTAATACCATCAAATTAGAGCTCAACCCTAGGGACTCATTTAACCTTAACCCCTTAAAAGTCCCATCTCCAAAAACAGTCACATTGTAGGCTAATGCTTCAACATATGCATTTGGGGGAGGGGACTCCGTTCAGTCCTTAGCAGGGCGGTCACCGCAAACATGGAAAGTCAGAGCCATCTCCCCTTCAGAATTCCCGCCCCTCACCCCAGGGACGGGGAAGAGGAACAGAGGTATGGGAAGCAGACACTGAGAGTGGCAGGTACCATGCTGGGGTGGCTCGGAGCGCTTCGGAGGACATATGGAACTGGCTGGGCTCAGTGTGGG